TATTCAATTTAATCAATACATTGGAATGCATTAAAATAATCTGTTCATGTAGTTTCTTGAATAGACAGGTTATTTGTCTAAGCGAAGATGTATGATGAAGTACAAAATATATTTAAATGAAAAATAATCAATTGTAGCACTTTTGTTTAAAGCTCTGTCTGTTCATCCATCAGGCAAGCTGCTGTTGGCCTGAAGGAGTTTCCTAGCTGTTAAATGTAACTTGAAGTATGTGGGTAGAAAGGAATTGATATGATGATCTGGGAGCTATTCTATCAAGAAAGTGTGTTGATTTGTATAAAATAAAAAGTAAAACACTGAGGTGGAGGAGAAATAAAAAGGGGAAATTAGATGGAATCAGCATTAAGGCTACTGACTTTTCAAAAGTGATTTTTTAAACAACAAAAAAGAAGTATTTGTAATTGATGCAAAGTATGCAGCATCAAAACCTAGAAATCAGCATTAATGTTTATCCCCCTGCCCCTGGATTTCAAGATGAAACAAATTCACTCTTACCCTAAACCTACCCATCCCCTTGTTGCTCACTTCTTGACATTAATGTATAAAACATATTAGTCATAAGACTTTATTCCAAAGCATCCAACCTCTGTCTTTAAGGTGGCTAATCTGATGGTAAATGAAATGAGATGACATTTTGGAATTGCTACCATAAATTGTAACTGATGTGTGAAATGAAAAAAATATCTATTGTAGAAAGGAATGGCAGTCATTGTGCAGACAATCTTATCTTTTTCTCTGGGAGGAGTAGGTACAAAAATTCACCACAGGTAAACTCCTTGTAGGCAAAATATAAAAATCAAGATTCTAAAAGGCACTGTGTTGGTTCTTTTTGTTGTAAGCAGAAGTAGGTAATACTGAAAGTTTGAGAATTAAAGAAAATAGTTTTCAAATTGCTTGTTTTAGTTTGCAGAGATATATCTAACTAATTTTGCATATGCATTTTAATTTTTATAACCCTATATTGTCCTCAGAGGACTTGTCTGGTGTGTGCTACAACAAAGTAGGTGAGGGTTGCTTTCTAGCTGTGCTTTGAAGACTGAACTTTGTGAATTTCCAAATTGGCTCAGGTGGTACACAGTTTAACTTTATTAAATCAGAGCCAATAAACAGAGAGGCTTAGAAGGTGATTGTATCCTACGTCTATTTATGTGAAAGTGTGTGTGAATTAATAAGTGGATTATGTGGAGCTTTAGGATAATAGCACAAGATATTTCATTTAACTTCCCTTGGCCTAAGTGCTATTTACTGAACCTAACTTGAGTTTGGCTATTAGTACTTACTGCTGTTATTTTTGATATGCTATATTAAGGCTACATTTTCTCATGTATATTTCTAGAAAATAGACTGCTTCATTCAAAAGCCAGGTCATCAGGGCAGCCACTACCATATAGGCAGATTGAGGCAGCTGGTGTGTGTGTATGTGGGTGAGCAGCAATGGTAGCCCCTCCCTGTCATTCCTTCCTGTTCAATAACAGAAGAGAATAGCTTTGCACCCTTTAAGCTGGGCTGATGCCCTCAGTGTGGTGGTGGTCATTCTTCCATTGCCAGTACAGTGGTACCTCGGTTTACGAACTTAATCCGTTCCAGAAGTCCATTCTTAAACTGAAACCGTTCTTAAACTGAGGCATGCTTTCCCTAATGAGGCCTCCTGCCGCTGATGCCCTTCCACCGTTTGGATTCCGTTCTTAGACCGAGGTAAAGTTCACAAATCGGGACACTACTTCCTGTTTTGCAGAGTTCGTAAACCGAATAGTTCTTAAACCGGACTGTTCTTAAACCGAGGTACCACTGTACTGAAGTAAGAATCAGCTTTCCAATCCAGTTGCAGAATGGACAGGGGTGTCACCTTGTTCCTTGTCTCATGTAGCAAAATATTTTGAGCCAGTTCTTCAGGGCACAACAAATTGGTGAATTCAATCTAACATATATGGTTCACATATTCCTTTCTTTTACTTTCTGCCTAGTTTTCTGAAAATGTGAGCTGTACTTTGTATATAAGCACATCGATTTCAATGTATTACTGCGATCTTTGGAGATTCTGAATATTCTTTAAAGGCTGTGCAAGTTGGCAAAGCTGAAATCTGACATTTGATTCCATAGTTATGCTCATTATGTAAGTGCACCATTTTTCATGAAGGAAAACAGCTGATATTCATTGTTTGTGGCTGTTACCAAAAAAACCCCTCTCTTTTGTAGGCACAGGATAAATCTGCACATTTTCCAGCTGCATGTGTTGGTCTATACATGCAGAATATTTGTATGTCAATGTTTCGTACACCTTTGGGGAGATAGTACAGTGGTACCTCGGGTTACAAACACCTCGGGTTACAAACACTTCGGGCTACAAACTCCGCTAACCCAGAAGTAGTACCTCGGGTTAAGAACTTTACCTCAGGATGAGAACAGAAATCGTGCAGTGGCAGCGGGAGGCCCCATTAGCTAAAGTGGTACCTCAGGTTAAGAACAGTTTCAGGTTATGAATGGACCTCCAGAATGAATTAAGTTTGTAACCAGAGGCACCACTCTACTGGGTTGCAAGCATTCTTTGCCCACTCTGTATTTAACCATTTGCCTGGAACTCATAGACAACCAGGACTTCCATGTGGACAACCTTGTGGAGGGACCAGTCATTTCTTTCCCCATTCACTTTATAGAAGGCAAATTTTATTATTACACTACTAAGAGACTAGTCATCTGTGTATCCGTTGTGGCTAAGAAGAAGTGAGTTAAACTCACTATGTAAGGAAATGCAAGCTCTGGTACCATCTAAGCAGGCTAATAAATAATCTTGCAGGATAGTAATTTCTGTGGGGTTATTTACACAGATATTCTATGTGTTTAGACTGGTGCATATAAATAACATTTACTCCTTGCAACCTATTATGCAAATTGTTTCTTAGCTATGCACATCTAGTACATTAATTGTTGAATTATATCCTAGATGCTTTGTGTCTGCTCGTAGCAGCTACCTCAAAAAGTTGGGAAAGGATCATCAGGAGCATCTTTTCAGCTTACCATTTGCTCATGGCAGGATAACTTATGATGCTTTCTTCTAAGATAACAGGAAAGGTTGCCATGGAGACATTAGCAAACTGTTGTGTCCTAATGTAGCTGGTTTTGTTGCTCCACATCTGGTCGATTAATATGCAGCCAGTAGTTCCAAGGTTTTTTTTGAACTTGGTTTTTATAGTTTTTTCTACCAAGTCTTGAATCCAGTATATATTAAAGGGGGAAATGTAGCACTTAGCATATAGAGATTACATTTAGCTAGAAAAAATAGAAATTTCATTATAGGCAGCTAAAATAAATTTTTGTTTGCTGTCCTGCACCTAGTTACCTGGTAGCTAGTGGTTGGCATCCATCTGTTTTGGGAGACAGTAAAGGAGTTTACTTCGCCTTTGGAGGTGAAGTAAATCTATTGGAAGATTACAGCATCTGCTGTGGCTGTAGAGACTGATACGGGAGATACTGTACATGTTTTGTTGCAGCTGGGGCAGATGAAGGTGTCCAGTTGTCCTGCAGATTCACCATGGTGTTTCTTCTGTCTGAGGTTTCATTTGTTTCCATGAGAATTACTCTGAGTGAAGTGTGGATACATTCAAATATCACCTTTGTCAGGAACTCACAAGGTGGCTTAGGCAAGCTTCAGCCCCCGCAACAACATTAGTTATAAGATAATAATATTTTCAGGATAATTGTAAGATAGCGTACAAACACCCAAAATGCAAAATAAAAATGCTGTATCATGGGTTGTGGAAGGGCTGAAGAAACCTACCACCATTTTCCCACTCCAAATTATATTCTTCCATTGCTGCTTTGCAGCAAGGTAACATGCCAGTGGTTGTTTCCTGCATACTTTTGTGTGTAACATGAGACTTGCAGTCCAGGCTAACAGCCTAGGAGTCATTGCTTAAAGGTAAAGGTAAAGGTACCCCTGCCCGTACGGGCCAGTCTTGACAGACTCTAGGGTTGTGCGCTCATCTCACTCTAGAGGCCGGGAGCCAGTGCTGTCCGCAGACACTTCCGGGTCACGTGGCCAGCGTGACATCGCTGCTCTGGCGAGCCAGCACAGCACACGGAACGCTGTTTACCTTCCCGCTAGTAAGCGGTCCCTATTTATCTACTTGCACCCGGGGGTGCTTTCGAACTGCTAGGTTGGCAGGCGCTGGGACCGAGCGACAGGAGCGCACCCCGCCACGGGGATTCGAACCGCCGACCTTTCGATCGGCAAGTCCTAGGCGCTGAGGCTTTTACCCATTTTAGTCATTGCTTACTAGCAGCTAATTAGTGTGGATTTTAGGTACCCTTAGTAAGGGGTGAGGTTATCAAGTCAGATCAAATTTATAGTCCTTCACCTTCCACTTTTAGCCCAGGCCCTGCCCACCACTGGCATATGACCCCCAAAGGGTTACTCAAAATGAATGTAGCACTGGGGCTGCAAAAGGTTACCTACTTTTGCCCTAAACTTTTTGGGTACAAGTTTTTTTAAAAAACTGTCTTCACCCTGCCTGCATTTTAACATCATAAACAGAGCTCATTATTAGCTGGGGTCCAAAAAGCCACATCATTACAGGATGTTAGGAAATCCCTAAAAGCCCACCTAATATTGCTTGCTTTTCCCTGAGCTGTATCTTAATTTGTTGGATTGGATGTTTGCTTTGATGCTGTTGCTGGTTTTTATTAATGATTTTGTTGTTGTTGTTGTATTGGTTGTATTTTACTCTTTTGTTCTGTAAGCTGCCTTGGGAAGGTTTTTATCCTTGCAGGTGGCTTCCAAATATTTTACATTAAAAAAACAACAGATAAAAATAAATACATATCAATGACTTTAAAGGAAAGAGAATACCCTTGGTGTCCACGGGTAATGCAGACATCACGTGAATTTGCTAAAATTATCATTATAGTGAATAATTATGTCAGTAAATTAAATTATTGATCTTAGCTTTTTTATTCAATGTCACTGCATTTTTCTTCCCTTTCAGTAACTTCTCCTGGCCAAGCTGTTACTGTGGTAACGCAAACTCTGGTAACCAAGGAAACTACCATCTCCAAACAAGAAATGCCATCATCTTTGCTTCTGGAGGTGCCAGCCCTGGCTGAATTCAATAAGGCATGGGCAGACCTCACTGACTGGCTTTCTCTATTGGATCGAGTGATAAAATCCCAAATAGTGACTGTAGGCGATCTTGACGAAATCAATGACATGATCATCAAACAAAAGGTATGTGAAATATCTACATACTGAATTTTATGCCTGACAGAAATAGCTGCTACAAATGGAACAATTTAAACAGGAAGTATATTAGTATACATTGCACACATATTCTTCAGCAAATTAATTTTAAATGTGAATCTGTTCTGCTTTATACCAGTTTTCAAATGTATATGACAATTATTAAGATTTGCAGAGTGAAAATAAAGGTAGAAGATCAAAACAACGAGATCAGTCTATATATTGCCTTTACAGCGAGCCAGTTACTTTGATATTTAGTCATCAATATACTACTTTCTCAGAAGTCAGTAAATAGGTTGAGTATTACATGATGCAAGCAGAATAAACCAACATCTCTTTACCTTTTTATGTTAGAATATTTCTCTAAGAACTTTCTGAGAGGTTTGTATCCTGCTGTCATGCTATTACGAAAAGCTTCTCAATCCCCTTAAAGAAAAGAGCAGCTCATTAATGCAAGTGTTTTGTCAGCAAACTTTTAAAGTGCTACTTATCGTTGAAAACACACAAAAATGTGGAAATATAGAAGCATGGACAAAAACAAAACTTTAACTTCAGCAACTCTGGTGCAATAAAAGTAATTTGTTTATTATATAGCCTGTAAGTAATTACCTGCCTCCTAGATTTAACAACACTCAATATAAAATATCTAGCTTACATGAGCAAAACTTTAAGTGCTTCACTTCCATTCCACTGATCCTTTCAAGAGTGCATCAGACTCTTTGTTATACAACATTGTCTCCTTCAAATGCAAATTCTAATTTACTCTATTTAAGGCATGGTGTGTGTTTTTTTAAAGTATATGTGTAACAAGCAATCAGAAAGTTGATAATATACAATGAAATGTTTTTAATTAAAAGCTAGACCTTACTTGTATGAAAATGATGATCCATGGGTAAGAATCTTAGACTTTAGGACCCGCCCCCTTACATAGTTAGTGCTATGTTAGCACTGACTCTTTTCTGCTAAGGGTAACAATGCAAATGCTAAATATTATCTAAATGTGCAAACTTTTTTTTAGTCCAGGTGAAAAACATGTGACCAGGAGCTATCATATCCTATGTTACGATACATAACTTGATTGTGGCTGTATCTCAGCATTATTATTTTTTATTAAGTTCACACTCCTTATTTCAGAAGATCATACTAAGCCTTACCCATTTGTGATTGGGGATATACAGGATCTTTCTTTGAACATGACCTCAGTAAATGACCTCAGTAAATTAGAGCATAAATTGATCAGGTTCCTTTTCAAAAAGTATATGAAATGCATATGATCAGGTCTCAGGGCTGGGGTTGATGTCTTAACCACAGTTAATATTAACCTTCATCTTCACTAGGATTTGCAATGCCCAGTGTCTTTACTCCTGGTCACATAACCCAGGCCTCTTACTCTAAATCTTCATAAAACTTCTTAGGATTATTTGTCTCAATACATGCACACAAACATAATTTTCGGTTGCCAGACATCTCCATAGTCTTCAGGGCCTTCATCTCCCCATGTAGCCCTTACACTAGGTTTCTAGGTGTATAAATTTATGCTACAGTATTCACCCCTACTCGGACTGGGATACAATCAGGGTAGATTGGCAGGAGAGAAGTGAGCTTCTTCATTCTACATAAGAGCTTTTTTTTTTAGCCTCAATTGTGTTTTGTAGAACATACTGTGATGTGAGTGTTGGTCTAAAAGGAACAGAATCTTCTACAGTGGTACCTCGGGTTAAGTACTTAATTTGTTCCGGAGGTCCGTTCTTACCCTGAAACTGTTCTTAACCTGAAGCACCACTTTAGCTAATGGGGCCTCCCGCTGCCGCCGCGCCACCAGAGCACGATTTCTGTTCTCATCCTGAAGCAAAGTTCTTAACCCGAGGTACTATTTCTGGGTTAGCACAGTCTGTAACCTGAAGCATATGTAACCTAAAGCGTATGTAACCCGAGGTACCACTGTACTTCTGTCTGCTGCCAATGTACAAGAAGAAAACTGACATAAAATCAACCAAAATCAATTTGAGTGCTAACATTCTGAGTTCAGAGCATACAAAGTCATCTCTGAATTAGATATGCTGAAATCCACATTTTAGTTATGGTTGATTTAGCTCCCTCATGTAGTTTGAGCATAAATGAGAAGTCTTCTTTTCTACTTTTTGTATAATTTATGTAGAGAGAAAATCTGTGGAGTACTATTTCCTGCAAGGTACAACATTAATGACTAGGCTACATCAGCATCCCCAATGGGAATGAGGGCAGGAGTGGGATGCAGTGAACTTCAAGCCACCATTATGCAAGCTTGTTTACACACAAATGGCTTAATACTGTATTGTAAGTGAATGTAGCATTACCTTAGCCTCCATTTAGAGAACTGATATTCTTTAAAATAATTATTATGAGTAGGTTGCCAACTGAGATGTGCACTGCTAAAGTGCTTTTTTCTATTACATGCAGACAAGTGTAGAGAATTGGGGGAGGGGGAGTTGTTCTTGTTGTCAGCATGTGGTTTTAAGTCTCACCTTTCATATATGTAAATCTAAAGTAGCTATATTTATTATGTGTTTGAAAACATTTGTTCTTAGCAACAGAAGAGTTAGACTGGATGCACTTCTAGAACTTATAAACCCTAGGAACTAAGAGATCAAACAAAACTAAAAATTCTCAAGGTACTTGAGGAGCAGGCATCATTGCACAATGATGCTCTTGGGACATTCAGATAAATGACTTCTGGTCTTCTGCATTTTTCTGCAGAGCAAAAAGTTTAACATACCTCACCATGTCAGAACCATAACAACACTCCCCACCGCCACAAAAAAAATGATTTCTGCAGATTTTGTTTTGAACAATTTGCTTTGTTGAATTGAAAATAAACTGTTCATCAGAAACAATGAAATTTGTGAGTAGATTGCTATATTCTTAATAATCTAACAAAGTAAAAAAGTTTTATTTTGTTCTTGCTTGCTTGCAGAATGTATGCTATCTCTGTAGCATATGCATTTCTTAGTTTTCTTTCTGTTCCATAATTATAAAAAAGTAATTGAATAGCTTATTTTCCCATGTAATGTGCAAAGCAGAAAATTGTAGTCCAATTGTAATCATAGAATGCAAATCAAAACTATAAAGACCAAATTAAATGCTTGTTCATTTTCTAAGATGTTTCGGGGGGTTACAGGAGAAACATATTCTCAGGAAAAAGACATGATTCCAGGAAAACAAGATTACTGCAATGGGAAAGTATGAATTAACTTTTTTTGGTTTTGATGAAGCAGTTTTAGAAGAGAAAGTTATTTTATATGGAGTTTTAAAAAAAAAAGCAGAAAGGGACTTTTAACATTTTCCCTTAACATGACATCCCTGATTAAAATCACCTCCATGAGCTACTCTTAGCTCCAGCTGGGAAGCTACCATTGTTGCCAATAGAACCTTTCCTCTCAGGGGAATAGCAGATTGAGGAGAGCTGTTTCATGAAAGAGACTCAGGTTGAAGTTGCCTACAGTAGCTTCAGAAACAAATTTGGGTCACGTGTGAACTTCATCCAACTCAGAGCTTCCTCTGAGTTGGATTGAAACAAAGTCAAGTCTAGCCAGATTCCAACAGGCATGGTGGAAAGGTGGTTGGGTGAGTAAGGAGCAGTAGTTCAGTAGAAGCAAGAACTCTTTAATGGGGTACCCCAATCCTTGGAGGGGCAGGCAAGGCATACAACCTCCCTCCAACCATGACTCAGGCTTTTACCCAACGTTTTCCCCACCGGAGTTGTACCGATTGCTATGGGCTAGGCCAGTGTTTCACAACCTTGGGCCTCCAGCTGTTTTTGGACTACAATTCCCATCATCCCTTGCCACTGGTCTTGCTAGTCAGGGATGATGGGAGTTGTAGTTCAAAAACAGCTGGAGGCCCAAGGTTGGGAAACACTGGGCTAGGCAAAAACCCCAATGTCAGCCAATGAACCTGAAGGGCAAATTCCTCCCCAGCCCCGAATGTGGTGACTAATCTTAATCCATAGTAAGGTCAGGAAAGCAGTCCTACTTCTGTGATGGTAGCCTAGCTGAAGGGAGGGTGGGAGGGAGATCCAAAGGAAACCAGAATACTAGATGGGGCATTCCTTTTATATTCTGGTGGTGGACCTGAGTGAAGTCCTGAGGGTCCTGGTCAGACCTGCGTCCAGAATGTGCTCACCCCCTGGTCTGGTTGCCATTGGCTAATTTGGCAACCAGACCAATCCAACTGTTCCCCTGGCCAGCAGGAGAGACTGTTGCATCTCCCGATGGCTGAGGACCTGGCAGGGAGGCACCTGGATGGTGCTGTGGTGCAACTGAAAAGCGGTAAACAGATTTTAGGAGCATGGGAGAATGATTTCTTTCCTAATTGATTCTACGTCTTTTATCAAAGTGCCCTATTTGTGGCATATGGATCTGTTGTTGATAAGGGACTTCTGTGAGAACTGCATAAAGATGAGATGCTTACACCTTGTTCGAAAAGGTCTTAAGTATGCTCATTATGTTTAGGGTGTCTTTTCCATCTTTCATCTGTAGATGACAGAATTCAAATCCAGATTTTGCTTTCCCTTTTCATCTTTTAACAAAGAATGCTTACTTAGGTTTCCCCATTTATCAGGTATTGTCTAAACGTGTGATTTCTTTTACCACGCTGAAATATTTTATTTATATATAATTCAATATTTACAATAAAAGCATGTACATGGCACCACCAGCTTGCATTTATGCAGACCAAAGGCTTGGGATTTTGAAATAATATATTGCTTGCAGAAATTTATTTAAAATCTGTCTAAATAGGAGAAAATTGGATCTTTGTTATCTGTTTTCTGAGGCAAGATTATTTCTAAATCCCCAACTAGGTACAGATAATAAACCTAGGAGAACCCCCAAGGTGAAAACATAGATGAACTGTTTCTTTACTCAGGAGAGAACAGAAGAGAAAATTGTTTAAAATTTACCCTTTTCTCACCACAAAAGATTGCCTTATAACAAAGGTATAAATAATCC